TGTTTTAAATTTAACTTAGTTGTTTAAATGTAAGCGAAAAGCACATTTGTATGTTTGTAATCAAAAGTACGGGATGGAATATGATAAAGATGATAATTTTTCCTTATATACCTCTGCATTATTAGCAATTAGATCTATTTCAATTGTTGAATATACTTGATGTAATAGAGACAAGACCGTATATTCACTATTTCCTAAATTTCCTTTAGTTTTAGGCCGAGTTGTACTCTTGTCTTTGAAATACAAGCGTATTGAGAAAAGAACAAGATACATCCATGATCCATAAGAATGAATATGATAACGTTAATCATTTTTCCATTACCTATCATCAGCGTTCTTACTAATTATCTCAATTGAAATTGTTAAATCTCAGCTTCGGAGTTGAAGGACAACCATGTCCATTTTTTTTTTTATTAAATAATTTAGTAACTAAGAAATAAATTTTAATCACTCAAAGTTATGAAGAATTGGCTTCCTGAACAATCCAAAAATGTGGTATGGTGTCATTAATCTACGGAGTACAGATTTATTAACTATGAACAAAATTTTAGCATCTCAAAGTTATGAAATATTGGCTCCCCTATACTAATACGAAAATTTGCACGATGTTCTTTAACTCTGGAATACAGGAATATATTTACTATATACTATACCATTTTCCCACTGTTTCTATAATTTTCTCCGTCATGTAATTTTTTTTTGGGAGGGCTTTTAGATACCCGAAAACCCCTCAAGAAATACCAAATGTTTATTTTTCAAGAAGAAAAATAGTCAGCTTTATGTTTCAATGATTTCTATATAACATTTATTAATATTAGTTTTATATTTTGTTACAATTACCGTAATATATAATTAAAAATGTCTAGTCAACTTTTTGATTGTTGTATAATGAAAACAAACAAATGTTATAATAAAGGAGAGAAGAATAGTTGGGGTGTTCAGTCAAAAAGGAAGGCAAAAATAAATTATAATATTTATTTTTTACATATGCCGACGTTTCGACCTGAAGTTCAGGCCTTCATCAGGGCTAAGAAAATAACCAGACCACAAGGTAAGAGAAACATAAGTAATAATGGTGAAAAAGATAATAAAAAATAAAAAAAATAAAATAAAAATAAAATTATTAGAAAAATAAATCATGATTATGCCTACTTCATCATTCCACACTATGAAACAGTTTTTATTATTTATCTCTTAGTCCTTAGTCATTATTCTAACAATTTCATTTTACTTTATATTTATCTATTTTATTTTTCTAATAATTTTTTTTTTATTTTTTTTTTTCATTTTTTATTATCTTTTCACCATCATTACCTATGTTTCTCATACCTTGTTATCTGGTTATTTTCTTAGCCCTGATGAAGGCCTGAACTTCAGGTCGCAACGTCGGCATATGTAAAAAATAAATATTATAATTTATTTTTGCCTTCCTTTTTGACTGAACACCCCAACTATTCTTCTCTTCATTATCCACGACAGTCAACCAATTACTAATTATAAATGTTATAATAACTATAAATTCTACACTGTTAGTTATAAGTGATTAGATTGTGGTGTGAAGAATGTTATAATAATTATATGTAGATACAACTGTGCCTTATGGCTGGGACACTCATGCACGCATCGCGTCCGAGTCGCACCACGGTCGTACGAAATAAACATACTCTTCGTGATAAAACCATAAATGATCATAGCTATAATCCTTATGTTGATCTAACCACTAGCGGATCCAGGATTCCATTTTGGGGATTAATTAATTATAGTATTTTCCATATAAGTATAACGACAATTAATTTGAAAAACAATTAATTAATTATCTATATGAAATAGTGTTTAAGCGGTTCATGTCCTATTAAATTTAATTACACGAACAAGAATATTTTAAGAGATAGTTTTTAATATTTTTTTTCGTAAAATATGGTTATATTTTACCGTTTTGGCGGAGGGAGGAAGCTTCAGCCCGAAAACCTCCCCCTTGGATCCGCCTGTGGATCTATCCTTACCTCAGGGTATATTTGTTTTCATCGAGGAGGAACTGCATGCGGCCGTGGTGCGGCTCGGAAGCGGTACGGGGATGTGTGCCCCAACCTTTTCTAGTTATAAGCGATTAAATTGTCCCAGATGTTATTTATTTTGTTACATACGATACAATAAAAGTGGTTTTAAACCATTTTGGTATGTTTTTGAGTCTTTCACTACCGATTCATTAATAAATATCAATAAATTCATAAATATCAATCCCTAATATTAAAAATCTCATTTAAATATTTAACATTTAAATATTTTATTTAAATTTATGATGCATGATTTGAAAGCAATACAAATTATATCTTCTAGAGCAGCGAAATGTGATAAATATTTTGTTACAGTAGATTTTTTATTTACATATCTGCGAATGGCTATTCGACTCGGGATTAGACTTCAAAGTTATTGTTAATAGTTATTATTCGCTGTATAATGACTGTATTGTTTATGAAATCATACAGAAATATCATAATTAATTCAAATAATTTCCTTATTTAACGCAAGAGGGTGAAATTTAATATAATAAGTGTGTGAAATATAAGTAAGTGAAACAATATAAGATTAAATTATAAATTATTTTATTACAAAGCTCTATAAAAATCATTAAATTACGCGACACTATTCCAATAAATGGAGACATAAAAAACCGATGTCTAAAATAATACCAACGCTTAAGCTAGAGTTTTCTTTAAATAGACATTTAAAAAATAAATAAAATTTTTGTTTATACAAAACAAGTTCTAAAAATCAAACAATATATTACATGTTTTAATGGAAGCTTGTACATTAACTTCTGTTCTTGTTTAGCAAGAATAGTAAATAAGGCCGGATTTGTAAATTTTGAATGATTAAAAAACATAATATTATTAAAGCTAATTACTATTTTATTCATTAATCATATTATAGCTACATTTTATTAGAATTTGCGGTTCGGTGCTTTTCTGGTGAATACAGGCGCTCACATCTTCAAAATGAAAAATAAAAAACGTTGCACAAACCATTACGTCCTCGTCTTGAACATGAGGATAATTGACCGAAAATTCTTGTTAATAAAATAAGAAATATCCGATTTACTTCGATTTATGCGTAGCTTTACTATTTCATTACGGCTGTCGATGTGTTTTTCTTGGGATAACCAGCTTTCTATGTTTACCTTAATCTACACCTGGAAATATAACAGGATTAGCAACGTAGCTGAAGGAGGAAATGCCACGGGCCACGAAGCTTGAGTAGAAAATAGAAAAGATGGTTTAATATTGTACATAAGTTAGATTTCGTAAAAAAACACTCACCTAAATCGACAAAATCTCATCGATTTTATAGATTTTTCCATCTCTTTTTCCGTCCTGCGTTCGCCGTCACTGAAGACCGTTTACGCTAGAGCTATTTTCTAATTGGAGTGAATAATTATTTCGTTGTTAATTACAACAGATTTTTTACAAGCTCAATCTTCACTTGATATTAAGTCTAGAAAGGCCTTCGTGAAAAATTATTATGAGAAGAAGTTAATATTTTTAATATCTACTAATTACTCGTTTAACAGATACAAAAATACGACATGGTGTTCTTTTCCTCCGGAATGCAGATTTTGGAACTGAGAAACAAATTTTAATTACTCAAAGTTATGGAACATTGGCGCCCTTGAGTTCTTTACATCCGGAGTACAGAAGTATTAAAGTTACTGTATAAGTTTAGTTTCAATTTTGAATTAGATTAAACTATTAGTACGGTGGTATTCCATATTCCAAACTTCTCGACATTACACGTGCTGAATGTCGGAACTTCTAACAGGTGTGCATAGAAAAATTTAAGTAAAAAAATAAATATCCTGGGAAATCATTCAACTATCAAAACAGCAACTTTTCCGAAAATATTTTTTTATTCATTACATCGAGATATGTTTTAAAATAGTGGCAAGCCAGTGATGTGATAGCCGTTAAAAAATTATTAGTCTCTTTGAACAGTTATGGTAGATTTAATTACTCGGAACTTTCAGATTTTTTAGCATTTTATTTTCAAATGCAAAATATTCCTTATTATACTCCGAAATGAACGTTTGTATTTGGCCGAAAATGAAGTTTTAGATTATTAAATTTACAAAGAATGTTTAATTATTATCTTTAACAAGAAACAGTTGTTTTTGGTAGTGTTTCTTATGCCGTTTTCTTCTTAGGAGGGGGGGAGGAGTATTAAAATATCTGTTTTTAAATTGTTGATATTAGCTAAGGTTTAAAAAAAAACTAATTTTATTTTATTAAAAATAAGTCTCATTACATTTTATAATATATTTACTGCATTTTATAGTATACGAAGTTAGATCACTTAAATTTTTATTAGTTCAAATTAATAGCTATGAGTGAAATTCAGACGAAAGTAAAATAAACCTAAATCAATGTATTTTGTATTTGTAATTCGTTTTACAATACAATCATGGGTACATACTGGTACACATACATACAATCGATACATAATTAAAAATGATTTTATTTACAATTTCTAATATAAATTCTAAATTTGTAATATTAGGTTGGATTTTTTTTTTCGTAATTAAGGCAATAAAAAATAGATATGTATATTTAGTTTAAAAACCAAATTAAATTAGATAAGGTTTTATCTTATTGGTTAGAATTGAAAGTTATTTTAAAAAGATAAAGTATTTTCCATTGTGTGTGTAAGGAATTATTTTATCCGTTTGTTTATCTTTTTGTTAGAGATAAAAAAGACTTAAGATATTTATCACTTGGACGCGATCGTTAGTGAATGCAGAGCCGAAATTCCGACTGGCTCATAAAACACACTGGGAGAGGGGGGGGAGGGGCGTCACCCTTATCTAATATAAAAAGACTTCAATTTGAAACGAGCCCAAAAACATAAAACCCCATGAAGAGCTGTTAACAATTTACATAAACAAGTCTTTTTGTCGAAGGAGAGGACTGTTGAGGGGATAAGGAGGGTAGAAAGGGGGGGTGGGGAAGATGGCTACGCCGTGGGCCGGAGTGATTTATAAGGCGGTGGAGGGGAGTGAGGTGGGGAACTGCGGCAGCTGATTGGCTAGGAGGAAGGGGTGGGGGTGTGGTCACCTGCCCCTCCACCGCCGGCTCAGTCGCTCCCGGTCCGGGCTCGGGTGTGGAGCCTTGTGTTGAAAGATTGTAACTATTGAAAGAGGCTGAGAGCCGTCTTGTGTTTTGTGTGCGATAGGATGAACATCAGCAGCAACAGATCAGCCTAGACAACAAAGCTGCCACCCCGATGGCGATGTCCGCCTACCCTCAGTTCGGCTACACTTACCACCCAACTTCCCCAGCGGCCCCCCAGGTAAGCCCCACATTATTGTCACTATTATTTCTGCATGAGGTCTCTTAGATCCACACCTTCTGTAAAGTTAAAAACTATCGCCGTAGCTTGTTTATTTATTTTGTGATTGTTGACATTCCGACTTAGACTCTGGCTATTAAGTTCAGTTGATAATTATTTGATTTCCCGCATGACATTCAAATGTAGAACGATTTTTTAATAACATAGGAACTTTGTTATATGAAATATTCGTATTCCATAATTTTTAAGATAATATTTCTAGTGTTTTTTTTTTAAAGTATATCTGCTTTTTTCCGTTCTATTCAAATGAATTATTGAAAATCCATTGTAAGAGATTTAATCAAAAATTCTATTGAGATTTTTCTCCATTTTTTTAAAAATATTTATTTATTGAACTAACTAATTTTCTATAATCATGTCAATGATATTTTGAAATGAAAGTTCAAATAGTCGAAATATTTAATGAACTTTGTTTACCAAAGCACAACTTTAGATAAATTAAATACATATCTTTAACCATTAAATAATTTCCAAAAATAGAAGTTTCTTTTCTTTTCGAAAATTTATCAATCAATACATTATTGAAAAAAAGCTTGATTTTGGTTCTACATTTTCTTTTTTAAGTATTTATAAATTTCTGTCTAGTTGCTTAATGTAGGATAGTAAACGTACTCTCCATAAGTAAATTTTGAATTTTTTTTTTTAGACTCAATTTAAAATGCGCATGTTCGTGTTTATTTACTGATAAAATGATGCATTGACGAATGAGACCAAATAAATTTAATATTGTAAACAAGAATTTTTTTTTCATATATTTTGTTTTTCTCTACTTCAACCAATACCCATCTTTCAATTCATATTCATCATTCTAATAAGTTGGCGTGTCCTAATTAAGATTCAAATTAAAAAAGCGCATTCTTAATTTCATTAATATTTAAATTAATATAGCAAATTTATTACCGCCTCTGAATTTATGGTTTCCGGTATTACTTGAAGAGGGCAGCGTGAGAATAAAGGGAAACTCATAAATATTTATTCGTAATGTCGATTACAACGTGTATGTTATTGTTAATTTGCTAACAGCATGACTGAAACTCGGATTACTCAACTCATACGGAATGAGGATTACCTGTTACATGAATGCTTTTGTATTAATAAAATGGAGGAGAGCTTTATAATATTAAATTCATATATCGAATTATTTTTATTAAACCGTAAATTATTTACGACTGTTACTCATATGAAGTCATAAAAGAAATATTATGACCAATAATCAATTTTGCTGACGAAAAAGATTCTTATAATCATTCTTAAGTCATTTTTTCTTCTCCCCTTCTTCCCCAACGGGAACTGTTTGCATGTTTTGTGGCTATGTTAAAACATTTGAATACATTTTCTATAAGTATTTATAGATGATAGCTAAGCATAAAGTATTATCTTTTTTTTTTTTTATTACTGGTCATATTTATATTTTTTAGAGTGATGAACTTTTTGGAGATTATAAATAATTATTTTATTAAAAATATAAAAGAAATATCGGAATTATCATATTACTATAGTGTTTTCAGAAAAAAATATGACCTATAGATTGACGAGGGAATAAGGAATTATTTCAACAAAAGCCTTTTTTTTTAACCGATATCATAATTATTGTTATACGTGTAAAAAGTGATTTCTGATATTTAAAAACAATATATGATACTCGTTCCCCAAAAAATAAACTTGAATGCAGAAAAAAAGTATTTTTGCACTTATTTGTTTGATTAAATATTATACTAATTCATGTATGCAATAAAGTTAAGAAATTTAAAAGTTAAGATAGGTAATTCAACTTATAATGATGATTTTTAGTAATTTGTAATTTACAAATAGTTATTTATTGAAAAGCGCAAACTTCGGTTTTGGAATGGACATAAAATTGCAACGAATCTGTTTCGAAGTATGTATTCATTAAAGATCTGTATCATGTTCAAGCGATATATAGTACATATATCTGAATTTAGATGTAAAATTAATTGTTTATTATTATTCATATTGTTTATTATTATTATAATTATAATTATTACACTTGCTAATTGTATTTCTATATATCACATTTGCCGCGTATGTAATTGAAAAACAAAATTAAATACTGAGCGTTTCCTTGAAATCAGTTTTATTAATGGGACATAAGTTTTTATTTGACAAATTAATTTAAATACATAAAATTACAAACCTTATTATATTTAAATATCTGAGTAAATTTTTCTTGTTGAACAATGTAACGGTTATATTTAAATTAAATTAAACTAAATTCTATGACAGTTAATAACTTTATTATTTCATTTCTAATAAAACAAACTAATAAGGTTAATTATCAATCTGGTTTATGAAAATATCTATGAACCCTATCAAACTCATTATCAAATTAAAAGATAAAAATAGCAAAGTTTAGAGATAAACTTTATTATTATTATTTTAAAATGTTTATAACAGGTAATAGTGATCTAAGCAACAAAGCAAATATAAGCATAATAAAATAAAAAATATCCATACTTTTTAATAGCAAAATTATAATAACAATTAATTTACATATGTACAAATCAAAGAGTGGATACATATTGACTGAATAATTTTTATTGTTGTGTATTAAAACATAAAATATCTCGTATAACATAAAAATAATTATAATTAAACTAAATCTTTAAAATAAAATAAAAAGATATTTTAAACAACATTCATTATTTTTTGAACATTTATTTTTGTGTTTCAGTTCATCTATATTTAAAAATATACACTATTTGTTAATTGTATAATATAAAAATATGTTAAATTCCATATTTTTATTGTTTTATATATATATATTAATATAATGTTCACGTGAGTGTGCAATTTTCACCATTTTCATGTTTTATTTAAAATATATATATATTTTTTACGTGTAATAATAAAAATCAATATACATGTAATTAATTTTTAATTTATTTGATTAGTACTGAGTTTCAGTGTTAAAATGTTAATTGTTAAATGAAGCTAACTTTCACAAAAACATATATTCAAATATTTTCATCGCAAATATTGAATTTCAATAAAAATTGTTAAATAATTTATTGTTAAAACGATTGTTCTCGCAAAGCAATCGAGAAAATATGAAAAAAATAATATCGAGAATATTCGAGGTGTAAGCGGAGGTATAAGAAAAGGGCGAGCATTAGATTTTGCAGTGGAAATCCTCTTTGAAAGCGTTGTTTGTCACAAATTGGATCTAGGGGTCTGCTCGGCTCACGGAAGCCTTTTAGAAGTTTGTCCCGTTGTTTCTTTTGCTTCACAATGCACTCTAAACATCAATAAGTGACTAAATAAAATATGCATATTTTATAAGGATATGTAGACAAAAATTAAAAAAAAATTAAGACCAATTTTATTTTCTTGAAATCCGTAAACAGTATATTTTTTTAGATCAAAACCATTCTCATTTAAAACTAGAAAAAAAAAAAGAAAAAGAAATAAAGTAATAACACAACCTAAATGAAAAAATAATCAATTTAAACAAAAAAAAATATATATATATATTAATATCACATTTCCTATATCCTAATCTTAAATAATTATGACTTTTATTTATACATTTATGGTAAATATACAGAAATGCTAAATTATGACTTGTATTAATCAATAAATGACAAAGGCTTCTATGCAATTTTTAAAATTTTTTTTTTGTATCAACTTATATATAATTTTTACCTTCTAAAATATTTAAATAATTCTACTTTATCAAACAAATGTTATTAATCTATATATAACTATTCTAGTTTAATTTCATTTATAATTTAGAACTGCATTTGTTTATATTATTATGTTTAATATTTTCATGATTTTTAACGTATTCATTACAAAACATCATTGAATTAAATCCTATAATTTTATTTTGTGTGTATTAATTTGCATGGTGTTTTAGTAGCAGTTCTGTCTTTTCCGGTGAATAATATTTTTTTTATATTAAATTTAATAAGCATCGTTTTGCAATTATAGCCTTTTTTTTATTTGTATGAAATTATAGCAGGAGATATATTTAATTACAATAAATAATATATTTACATAGGTATTAATCGCTTTATCTAAATCTATAGTATAATATGTATCGTAACTATGCATTACAATTATAGATAAAACCATTCTAAAAATTATGATATAATATATTTTATTATGTATTTATTTAATATTCTTCATTTGAAAAACAAATGGTATTGAAATTTTTTATTATTAAAACCACCGTTGTATAAATTTCAAAACTGTCAAAAGTTTCGAAATGAGATATTTATTTAAAATATTTTTTTTTTATTGATTAATATAATACTCTGTCTATTCAACAATAGTCATAGTGAGTTAAAAACACGTTCATACTGCACATACATAAGAATATAAAATAAACAAAAGAAAAATAGCGACTAAATAGTAATCAAAAAAGTATTTTAGCCTTTCTGAAGAAATTATGTGAATTGTATTTAATGGCTATACGAATTTATGATGTACGTTCTTTTATGTAAGTACAATAAACAAATTATTTAAATAAATATTAAGAGTCATAATAAATAGATAAAATAAAACTACTTAGTTTAACAATAATAATAATAATGACAAACAATTAATAGTTCCTTGAGTTTCAGAATTCTTTCATGCTGCTGTAGAAAAGCATTTAAGTGAACTTTAGAAAAAAAACTCTGGCTCAAATGCGACAAATTAACCCAGACACCATAAATAACAAGTTTGAAGAAGTTGAGAAAATAAGCGGACGTAATGATGAACGCTTCAGATTTTTTTTTGAAACCAAAAAAAAACAAACAAATAAATAAATAAGGGACTGGGGCCCGCTTGTGTGTCAAAGATGAAATTGATTTATTGTGAGTTTAGTTGGGTTCCTCAACCTGCCTAACTTCTACCTCAAACAGCTTAAAATTAATTAAATTAATTGTAAATGTATTAATCAAAGTTTCAGAATGAATCCTCATTACATTTTTATTTCGAACCATTTAATTTTTAATTAACGGCGTTTTAATATTTGTTTACATTTTTTATAAAATTTATTGTTACTCTTTGTTCCTAACATAAGATTTATTAACTTGACAAGTTAAAAATATAAATTATGCACTTTATCAATAAAGAATTTTTTTTAAATGTATTAAATAACAGAAATTATAAAATTGAGTATAATAAAAATAAAGTTAAAGTAAATACTTTCTACATCGAAGTATAAATAAATAGATATCTATTTGAAATATGAAATAATATGATGATTTCAAATTATTGATTAAATCATTGTTTTTTTTAATAGTTAAAATTTTCAATCTATTCTAGCTATATGTTATACTCAAAGTTGCAATTCATTTATGAAGAATGAATTATGTATTGAATATTGTATTTGTTTAAATTTTTTTCTTAACGATAGGTTATTTAGAAATTTTAACCGTTAGATTGAAGGAAATGAGTTTTATGAATTTTGTATAAAAAATCCATTATATGTTAAATATACAGATAAGAACAGAGAACTGAAATCCTTAAGAGTAAATGAAATAAACATAAAAAATGGGAACAAATTAAAAAAAAAAATAATACATTTATAAAACATGAATTTCAATTGTCTACTGAATGATTAAAAATGTAAATGTTACAATCACAATTGACATTTGAGCGTTAAATAATATTAATCGTTTCAGCATAATTATCCGACAACTATAAATAAATACATCCGTTAGTTATTCATGTAGATCTGACCAAGGAATGAAAAATAGATTGAAGCATAGACTGAAACAGAGTTACATTATCACTACTTCGATAATAAACATAATAATAACATTAGGTTTATAGATGCATTTTTTAAATTGATAATGTGTATGCAGACAATAAATATGTTGGTAAAAGTTAAATAAATAATATTAATACAAATAAAACAATATTACATTTATTTTTTTTTTTCTAAACTCACAATATGCGTATTTGACAATACACATTATATTGAAAAAAATATATTAATATTATTTATAATTGACCATTAAACATGAGCATAAGCAACCCGAATTTTAGTGACTTGTACAGTTTTGTTTTATTCCCTGATAAAGTGGACTCTAAAATTTAACCTTAATATGCCAAAAGAAATATTTGTAAAGAATTTTGGATTAATTGTTGTGATGAAAATTCAAAGCTTATCAGTTCTGAACTAAATAAAACGAAAATGATTTAGGGATTTTGAAATGAAATAATATTGCAATCATGGTTATTTTGACAAACTCTTTTTATAAATCAGTCGTTTGTTTAAAAATCAAATAATATTGTAAAGAAAGAAGGTAAATAATTAGGAATTAATTGGATTGAATCAACTGTAAGTTAGAGAAACAGTTTCAAATAGAACACACGGCCCAATTTTTTATTTTTTGTAATAATGGAAAGAAGATATGCAACCAGATAGCAAAAATAGATTATATGATTTCCAAACTTTTTAAAATGATATGTTGATTTGAAGGATCTCCCTGCCTTAAATCCCAAAGTAAATAACAAAAATACGCGTATATTGTGATTTGAAATAAAAATGTTTGTGTTTATTTCAATTGGACTCCATAAAAAAGAGGAAAATGTTACGAGATGGGTTGATGTAACCGATATGTCTTCAAGTTTAAGTATTTGATGCATTTATTAATTTGCTTAAAAAAAAAAAATATATATACAAAGCATGTCGACAAATTATTTGTTACACAAATTATAATCAAAAACTGTTTTCAATAACAATTACATTTAATCATTCATGCACGCATTTTCAACTATATGATAGCATGGAATGTTGATATCAATTTTTCACTTAGACCTACCCTAGATCAAATATGATATTCTACAGAAGACAAGCATCATCTAGAAAAAACTGCTAATAGAGAGTTTCCGCTATGGCTATGGCTTGGTGATAGGTTCTTTAAATGATTTTTTTATGCTTCTTTGTTTTAATAATAATCTACATTGTCATTAATTATGAGAATTTCTTAAATAGTTAATACAAAATGAAGCCGTTAACATAGACAAAGGAAGCTATGTGAAGGAAACATGTATGCACCTGATGATGTCAAAAATATATCAAACACTACACAGCAAAAAGCTTAAATTTTTTTCGAAAGTGCTTATTCATCAATTCAGAAATCTTGTCTTGACAAATACTCGGACCTACGAACCACAATCGTTATTTAAAACATTACATCTTTGTCTAAAACATTCAGTAAAATTGAACGGAAAATCAATTTCATAAAATAAAAAATACTTACTAGATTTCTCCAGTTTGATGCATAATTTTAGTTTTCCAGTTACAGACTTTTCCAGCTCGAATGTCTGTAAGGTTCAAACTTCAGGTTTTTCCGATTTTGTAAATACACTCGTCTTTAAATAATGCATGCAATTCGAATATGATTTCGATCTTCTATATATTCATTCTGAAATAAAATTTGATATAATAATATCTTTAATTAAACTCAATTCAAGAATTTTTTTTTTAATTGCTATGAAATATTTGAATTCATTCTATAAAGCAGATGTTACGGTATGAGGAAAACAATTTATATCATATGCGTTCAAGTTTTATTATTCAACTATATCATTTTTTTATTTTATGTCATGTATTGAATGTATTTTATTATAATCGCTTATCAAAATTACCATTCTGTTTTAATTTCTATGTTTAACATTTTTTATTAAAAAAAAATATATATATTTCGTATATTTAATAAATACCATCAGGATGGATCTGAAGACTGTGTCAAGAAGAGTCGTATGTCCAATAAAAAATTGGGATTTATTCTTGCAGGAAGCGAAGGAAGAGTTTAACAAAAGGTATGAAATAACGAGTAAGTCAAGCTACATCAGATCTAATTTTGAGTTCATCAAAACCATTGGAGAGGGTTCTTTTGGTCGCGTTTATTTGGCAAGATTAGTAAAAGAAGAAAAGTATTATGCAATAAAAACATTTGATAAGTCTATTCTTATAAAGAAGGCTCTGACGAAACAAATTCTTCAAGAGAAAAGAATTCTCCAAGCCTTAAATTATCCGGGCTGTATCTACTTGGAAATGACCTTTCAGGATAACGCTCACATATACCTGGGTCTCCCGTTCATATCTGGCGGAGAGTTGTACAATTATTTACTAAAAATGGGAAAATTCGAAGAATCTGCATCGCAATTTTATGGTGCTCAAGTTCTACTTGCTATAGAATACCTCCATTACTGTGACGTCATTTACAGGGATCTCAAGCCAGAGAATATACTTATTGACGTATATGGTTATTTGAAGTTGACTGATTTTGGCCTGAGCAAAGTAGTGACGCAAAGAACGTACAGTCTCTGTGGTACACCTGACTATTTCGCGCCGGAAGTCCTTATGCATAGAGGTTATGGAAAATCGGTGGACTATTGGTCATACGGAGTTTTTTTGTTTGAAATTACTTCCGGCAAACCACCTTTTGTTGCCCCAACGATGATGAAGACCTACGAAAACATCTTGACTGTCGCATATTCCATGCCGAAATATTTTTCTAGAAATTTGGCTCATCTGATTTACAATTTACTGCAGATTGATATCTCGAGGAGATTTGGCAGCATGAAGAATGCAATCGAGGATATAAAGAGTCATGCGTGGTTCTCTAAGATTGAATGGAATTTATTATTTAATCGCAAAATTGCTGCGCCATACAGTCCGAATGTCAGGAAACCTGGTGATACTAGAAACTTTGGTCACTTTAAAGAGAAGAAATTGAGATTGCACAAAGCAAATATTGAACACGAAGATTTTAATGAGTTCTGAAGGATGTTGTGTGTTATGATTTTTCTTTCCTCGAGGAATAGCCTGGTCGGCTTATTGGGACGATGAAGGTATCCCGCCTCTTCCTCGGTTTGACAGCAACTGGAGGAGGACGCAAGAGAGCTCCAGTTAGTTCCTATTTAAATGTGGAATTTCTTGCTTATGAAAATGGTGGTCAGAACGACGAGCCAAGCAGCGCCCAATGTTCCAGAGATCCTGATTTTTGTCATTATCTAAGTTCCCCGGCAATCAATCGTTTGTGTATATCTCCTTGGAAAGTATGCAATATCAAATTAGAGATGGAATGGTGAAATAAAATGTTATAATTAAATTGGATATAATATTTTATGAGTCTTCATTTGACTGCTACCATTTAGAGCGTTAGTTTTTATTAATAATTAAACATGAAAACTAAACATTCGTCAGCTAAAACTTGGCAAATACAAAAAATATTTTGTTGGTTTTGATACTAGTAGTTACGGAGTTGGGAAGTGGAGACATCCATTATTTTGAGATGCAAGGATGATATCTTTGCGGTGATAAGATGTGGCCATATGAAGTGAACTAATTAAAATATTTATGACCAGGGGGAGGAGTGGTTGCTCAATTAGAGGACTGTGGTTAAATGGATGATGCCACGCCGTGATCCATCATCCCCTGTCCGGTGGAGTGGTCGTCATAGCAACGGTCCTCCGCATCTTCTCTGGGGTGGCTGAGGCTCGCTAATGGTACCATAGGGCGTATCGCACGAACCCCTCCTGCGGTTAGTGATATCCCCTATACCGCACTCAACACAACCATCTTTTTGTGGTTGCTCAATACCGTGTATATTTTATCAAAATATTTATCTTTTTTTCAATTAATGTATGACATTTACATGAAGAATGTGAATAAGGTTATATCACTATTATAAAGTTCTTTTTGTTAGGTATACAATACAAGAAATGTCCATGCTCATCGCAACTGAGATAAAAAATTTATACCGTATAGAGCAACATATTAAATATAATATTTTCAGAATAAATTTTAAATGCTGTTTATATTTAGCTATTCGTATATATGCATATACATTCACATATGCGAACTTCAAGTATTATTTCCAATATTGAACAATGAAAAAATAATATTAATAAAGTAACTGAAAATTGTTTATTACATATATTATAAAAAGCATTTTTGAAATTTCAATTCATTCCTTTACTTGATCACCAGCATGATTTTTGAGGTGATTTATTTTAATAAAATTGAAATATAGAAAACGATTATAACAATAGTCATGAATATCAAATACTTATACTTTTTCCCGAATTTTTATAATAGAAATTCATTCTTATTCGTTGATATTAAACACTTAGTCTTATCCTACTTGAATGAATGAATGAATGAAAACGTGTTTATTATACTTTTAAAAAAATACATATATACAAGCAACGACACATAGACAATGGAAATTCCTTCTGTCGAGGTCTGCCTGTAATTAATAACAAATATTCATTACGTATGTAACTGAAATAAATGAGCAATATTTTTTTTTTTTTTTTTTTTTTTTTTTTTTTTTTTTTTTTTTTTCCTACCCCACAGGAATTTCTTGAATAAATACAGTATGTATATAAATGTGTATATACATAAATAAATTACATTTTTATGTAATGAGCAATAATATATCTACAGTATTTTTATATATTTATACATCCATTTCGTTTCATTTGTTTAAATAGAGTTTTAAAAAAACAAAAAACAATAATACCATAAATCCAATAATTAAGAAATTTAATTTCAACAATAATAATAACAATCAAATGAAAAAAAACAAACTTTACAAAAAATAAACACGATATTGTACCAATAGTTTACTAACTTACCGATTAATATCTTTGTAATGTGGCCTGCTGTACATAACTGCTTGAGGTTTTCTAGTTGAAACTCTTTAATAAACCAAATAATTCTTCCGGAGAGCTGGTCTGCTGCCCAAAACATTTCTCTCTTATCTCACTGTACATGTGACAAGTCCCCAAAAAGTGAATGATATCCGCTTTTTCTTGAGAGTTCAATACCGGACAGTTATCATTGCCTTCCACCATCGATGGTTTTACGCTGAAATCGAGCAATTCAGTCCTACATCGAAAATCACCGCCCGAGAGACCGAATTACAAAGCACTAGTTTACTTGAATAGGTGACATTTTTGTTAGCTATGAAAATATGCCAGGTAGAATTTAGGCCAAATTTTGCATGACTTACTCTTTCAGTAAATCGTAATCCCAAGACCAATCTTGAGGTAACGATAACACCTAAATATTTATACTCATTTACTACTTCAACAGGATTTCCACCGAAGTTACACCTCTCATATTTGGATAGTCTATTATTTTTGAGGAAAACTATTAATTTTGACTTGGCCAAATTTATATGGAAGTTCCATATTCGGCAGTAATTCTCCAAGTAGTATATCGTACGCTGTAATTTAACCAGGGAAGGGTCTAATTGTACTACGTCGTCTGCATACAATACACATTCATAAAGTATTAAAGAAACTACGGCATTTTAAAAAAAAAAAACGTTTCTAAATAATTTTTTTTTTCTGTTTTTATCCAAACATTTATATATTATATTATATTATATTAATGTAACAAGACAAGAAATGATTGGAATAACAAAAAATTACATACTACCCATCTTCCCCATCTCTCATTTTAAAAATTTTAAGATTGCTCCATATTTTCTTTAAATTGATTCAATTTATGAATTGAGGAACCTATCCGCCACCCAACAAGGGTGGACCTTTCGGATGGGGTTTATGCGTATCCATAGTAACTGTTCAGCATTTGCGCATTGCTTCGACATAAATATCGCTTTGTTTTCTTCTATAAAAAAAATGTATTATATGTAATAATAGTCAACACAAATTCAGTTATCTTAAGTATTACAATAGTTTTATATTTTAAAGTTTAAAATCATAACGAAAAATAGGGTTGACAAAAGAAAAACAACTACAGCGTGTACTTCATACCACACGATAGAAGTGAAAACATTAACAAAGCGAGATTAATCATGTGAAATATAATTTGTATAAAAATTACTGTAGTAAACTTTGTTCAGACTGATCGTCATTTGTATTATACTCTAAAAATTATACAATAGGTTTATGATAACTAAAATATGTTACGATTGATTGAAATAATCCGCTAAATATCTTTAAAAAAATCCGTCATTTTTTTAATGTAACTTCTATAATGAGGGTCAGTAATTTGTCGAAACTCTATCAAGTGCAAGAGAAAATTTAATACAAATACATCATTTCTTATTTTTATGGATAGTTTAAAAATGTTTATATTGACTTCCGCGAATTGGTTTCTGAATTCACTTTGGTATTTAAATTTTCATATATTTTTATCTAAATCTTGAAATTTTTCGTTATTATTTGATATTTTGGCTGTTTCCTGTTTCTGTTTCCAACGTCAAAATACAATTTTGATTTATAGTTATGCTGAAATGCTGAAAACTGCTCTTGCTTACATTATGTAGTTCCAAATAAAATTATTTCGATTGACCAAATATAACATACTTCAAAGGTAGCCATTTTGAAAATTCGGTATTTAATTCATATCAGTTAAATTATATACATTGAGATTAATCAAAATCGTCCGAGCCATTTTCGAACAACTTTTTCGGATCTTACACATTTTTACGATTTTCTGAAAAGAGGCTTCAACGATTTTGAATAAACCCGGTGCATCAATGTATGATTAAGAAATCTTCAGTATCATTTAGGTGTTATCCCTATTGATGTAGCTCAACAGCTCTTAAGTGCCGGATGTTCAAATTGCCTCCCTCTAAAGTACCTTTAATATGGTTTATTTGAAATAATTAAATGTCTTTCATTGTTAAGAGTTATGAAAAAAGGTTAAATATAACTTTTGAAAGAACTTGACAATTAAATAAAGCAGAAAAAAGTAAAATGGTTATCCAGGTCGAAAATGAATCTCCGGAAGTAATAATCAGAAGAAATACGTATAATATATCGTTGGGAAGCGGAAAATTTTAGAAAAAAAAATATATATATATTATAATGAAAGTCGTAGAAGATAACTGAGAGTAATGAAAAAATATATAGATAATAATTTCTGAAAACTAACATTATTTATCGTAAATCACATGATTCCAAGAAAATTAAATGAAATTTTCTTGCTAAATGTAAACCTTTAAAATTGTTTTCAAGTTTCAAAAAAGTAATTAAAATCCACCACATAAAGGCAATGACATTGTTTAAAATACTATTTCATTGTATTGTGTGAAAGAAGAAGTGAAATATCATGAATATGTTTATGAACTTAAATACATTTACTGTAGTTTAATAACTCTAGATATGATGTTATATTTAAATAATTAGGTATCTATCGTCCGTATATTCCGAAAAATGATCCTGTAATTTTTTAGTAAATTAAATTCGTGAACAATTTGACAATCTTTCCTTTTGTGATATTCTAATAATATCCACTTACAATCAGTATGACAACTTTTGAGCTGTCTATGGCAAAACAAATCTTTTAATTTCATTTTAGTAAACTTTGTAATGGAAAATAACATTTAATAACTAATAGTCATACAATCCATAATGAACGGATTGTATAATCCATAATCAACCGTTGATATAATAAATAAGATACTGTTATTCTAATGGTATTAATGAATTGTTAGCTGTAAGCTTTAGACTTTAGCTCGATTAAAAATGCACTTAAAAAATGATCATGTAACTTTCGAGAAAATTAAATTAGTGAATAATTTGACGATCCTTCCTTTTGTGATATTCTAACAATATCCCCTTGCAATTAGTGTGAGAAGTTTTGACCTTTCTATGACATGCAATGCAAACAGTTATTATAGTTATTATTATTGGTTATTAGATTTCGACATGCAAAATATAATAAATTATATTTACCTATTCACCCCAATGTTTACCAATAATTGACACTTTCGTAATTGTCTTGTTACTTTCATTGAATTGTTCAGATATTTTTTTATGTACTGTTAGAGTGTAAAATTACCCGGAAATTCATATTATTTTTCCAAGAGAAAAATATCATCCGTGTGACTAAATGATGTCTATCTGATGGAGTGAATATTATATTATTATGGAAGACTCGGGAACAATTATTGAAATTACTAAAACAAACGGAAAGAACATTTACCGGACGTTTAAACATGGCTGCCATGATGGCAAGTCCTCAAGAGATCTCTGCTTAATTGAATCAAAACGAGCATCAAAAGTGAGTGAGAAAAACTCGTTAGTCCCGCGGTGGCAGATCTTCATTCATCTCACGTAACCGCTCGCGGCATCCTCTTCTTCGTCGGACCGCTCATCCGATGTCCCAATTCCGGAATATCATCGGTCATCCGGAGCGGTATCATGCCAACTGATCTGGCTATGAGAACTGGAGTTGCTGGTGTGCAAGTAGAAGAACTGGCTTTAGTTAACAACTATCCCTCACACACACCTTGTTCTACGATTGTTTTTAATGAGTTTTTTGATTACAGAAATTCGACCGTAATTATTACAGTAAAAATATTTTAAAAATCATAGAGACAATGTGACATTCAATAATTAAATCATTTATTTCCGAAACTACGAATGAACATGTCCATATCATTTTCTGATGTATGAATATTTTTTTTTTACATTTGTTGTAGATAAATATTTTATAAATAAAAAAAAAAATAAATACTCGTATTCCTAAAC